CACAGCTGAAATTTTGTAATGACCAAACCTCAGCTCATCCAAATCCCCAATAGCATTAACTCCCTAGAATTGGGCTGTAAATTTGATTAGCCTTACAACAGACATGAGATACAAATGTTCTTCCTTATACAGTCATATTAAGTGGCTGCAAAAGAAGACGACAACGCATTGTGGAGCAGCGCATCCAACCTTTTTAAGCTAGGGACAAACTCCAGCTCACCCAGTTTTCAAAACTACATTTAAACATAGGGTAATTTCATGAATTCTGATATAACATGAGGATTACATATGGTGAGGTGAGGGGGGATTTAGCAGCTGCAGTCTTCCTATAAATCTTCCAGAAGCTTTTCTTCATACTTTAGTTCTCTTGGTTGACGTTTTCCGTGTAAGCTACATCACTGCACCTTAGCTTCTGGCCATGCATGTTTAATTTGGTGCTTTTTAAATATATTTTCATTACTCTTGCGCTGTCCCCTAACGTGAAGTTTGATGCTGTAACTCCTGGTGTGTTCCAGTTTTACATGGAACTAATTGGAGTACTGGGTAAAAATTTTTTCTTTAAACAAACTGAAGGTTATAGAGGCATCCTAGGACGGACTTCTAGAAGTGAGAGTCAGGGACTAGAAGGAACAGTAAAAAACCTTAAAGATTTCCAGGTCAACAGAGTTGCAGCAGCCTCTCTGGTGAGCCACGGCACGACTCCCCACGCTCCCCACACGTGGCTATCGCAGCCAGCACCACCCACAATGCTGCTCCCAGGTTTCGGTGCTGCCAAGTGTGGCACACGATCGCTTTGCCTTGTCCTGGCTTCTCCAGACACCGGCATCCCAAGGGATGGGGTACCCGTGGCTCTCAAGCCAGGCACCAGACACCTGGTGATCCAAGAGGTCCCAAAGTGCGCACCTCCTGCCAGGCCAAGAGCTTCAGAGTTTTGCTGTTAGTGTTATTAATTTATTGTGGTTTTATTTTTGTTTCCTTCACTAGGTTGTTCTGATAACACATTTCTGGCATAGCTTTATATTCTGATCCCCTGGTTTTCGTTGCCGTTTGGACACAATCCCATTTGGAATGAATTTCTGAAATGAACCCTGATTCACTGATGAATCATGCTACTTCTAAAAAATAAAAGGAAAAGCTAGAGCAGTTTACTAGTTATGGAAACAAATTTCTAACATCGAGAATAAAACCACAGATATATACAAATGGAAGATAAGAAACAGTTTTATGGTAATGAGAAGTGGAAATATGGGAAAAGTACCGTTATGAATTTTGAGATCCAATGTTCCTTTTTATCTCTTAATTAGACAGTTTACACAACAGTTGTTTTATAAATACATATTTGGCCCTGCTAATGGAGATTTCACAATACGCCTTAAATAGTGCAGCCCGGCTGAGAACCAGGTGATGCTCAGCCATGTGGTAGTGGGAACTATTGTTTCTCCTTCATATTTGGTATTTTGTAGGACTTGGACACTATAACCAAGGCTCATGCACGCTGGGAATTAAATCTTTTAATTGTTTTAATTAAGGTGCTACAATTTATCTTGTAATCTCCATTTTATGACCCATCCCCATGAACTGCATAGCGATAGTGACTCATGGCTCATTAAGTGTTGCGAGATCTGTCTCCTTGGGCCTGCCGGCCGGCTCCACCAGGAACAAGATGCCTTGGGCCTGAAGCCGCCTGGCTTCATGCAGGTGCAGAAAGAGACCATTTGCATTTCTGGAGTTCACGCGCCGTCCTTATGTCCGCCAGCACAAATGCTGTGTGCTCCACTGAATTGGCCGGTCTGCCACTGGTTGGGTGTCTCAGATCTGAAGTTAAAATTTCCCTCCTCACCAGCTGTCCTGACTTCCCAAACAAAGCTGTTGTGCCTCCTGATGGTTTTACAGCTTCACGGGAACCACTAAAATCAGCTAGCTCTTCCAACGCCTGTTGAACGGTCCTTATTAAAGTCCTCATAAATAACTATGTATAATGACAATGCACCTCCAGACCCTCTGACAGGGATGTGAAACAGCTGGGCCTCTCTGGCAACAACTGGTTTTCTGTTTCTTCAGTTTGGGGTCTCAAACGAGCAAGTGGCTTTGACAAACTGTGGGTTTGTTCTTTTATTCACTATTGTTATAACCAATAAAACGTATAGCCAAGCTGCCAAATTGCAAAGAACAATGTTATTGCTGTTATTACCAAGAGCACATTTTAGTAGTGTCCACTCAGCAGCTGGCTGTGGGGGCAGCTGGTCCTGCTCATGCTACAAGCAGGCAAGGACCTCTCTTGCTTCAGCAGCCCTGCTTCGCACCAGCAGACACCGATGGAAGGAGGCACTGACTTGAGGGAAGCACCCCAAGATGATAGCTGATTCACAGGTCACCCTCTCGGTGGGAATTTACACACCTACTACAAAACCTATGTAGACCTCAGACATCTTGCAGACCATCACTTCCACTCATTCCCCAGCTGCCAAAAAAAACCATTGCAAAGACAAGGGCTTGAACATATGAATAAATAAACGGCCCAGTTCCCGACATTACTGGACTTCAACAGATTTCCCCACTTTCTTCTCAAGAACTCCTTTCACTGATTCCCCCACCCCAAGTAGTAGAAAATAGACACCCTCCCATGCTGGGAGGAGGTGAGAGGAAGAGTCTGGGCCTTCTGAATCCTTCCAAAAACATATGTTGGTGAAATATTTACTTGCTCCCAAAAGGAGGTATAGATGGAAACCAAACATTATAAACTATCATCCAGGATTGGGGACAATGATATGATCCTCGGTACCCTTTCAGTATATCAAGGGAGTTGATTTACAGCTCTCAATGTGAAAGACACACTTTCACAGAGACATTCATCCCACACGTAAAAGACTTTCAGATCTGAACTGGGTATACCTTTACTACAGCCCATCACTTTTCACTGACTCACATAAGGTTTTATAAAGGTCTTAGTAGCAGCACTTTAAATACACACTAAACCTCATTAAGCACTTAACCGCGTTCCAGATGATAATGCCATGATATTCTTGCAACCTATCACAGCCAGATGCCTCAGAGGCCAAACCCCACCTTTCCCAACAGCATGAAAATCTGCACATTCATCACATTTTGCTCCAAGGATTTCTTTCAAGTTCAACCCTTAGTCTCCATTTCTCCATGGGTCTGTGAAAGTGTTTCTTCGCACAGTGGTGTCACATCCAAGGAGGGTGTGGGAATTTGCAGCCATGCTGTCAGGCTCATCCCTGAGCTACATTACACAAGGTTTCCCTGTGGCTACTCCCTAAATTTTTTGCCGAGAGAAATTTTGCCCTATTCCATTACCCAAGTTCCCCATATACCCTGCAGTGCTTCTCAAACCTCATTCCAGCCATGAACAACTTTACACTCCTTAAATACCCATAGACTTTTCTGTGCCTCTTCTTTGCACAGAACAAAATCTCTCCGATAATCCCCTCTATGGTTCTTTTCCTTGGCTGAGGAGTTAAAGGTAATATACTTTCTAGTCTGAAACTTTTAAAATTGATCTGAGATCAGATATGCTTCTTTGACACTCATGCATGTAAAAATAGCAAAGTCCAGGTCTTGGTGACCTCCTCTGGATATGTTAAGATATTAAAGGGAAGCATATGCATTAAGTGTTTGCAGGACTGAGACTATAGGGACTAAGTTCTCCACAGTCAGAGCGATAACTTGCCTTACTGATTTAGTAGGTGCCAACTTAGGATTCAAATCATGGGCTCTTCCTGAAAGTAGCAAAAGATTTTTTCACTAGATATTATTCAGTACTATTCAGTAATGTTGGCAGTAAGCCAATCAATTTTTGGCTAAACCAGCATATTTCTCCTATCATAAACTCTTGTTGTCAACAAACAAACAAAAAAGCCCAGATTTACTCTGCTTTGTGAAGGCCTGACATCGAGTCCCAGGAATTTCAGTGGTTAATAATGCAAATGCCACACTCAGATTATGACTGTATTGGAGAAGCCGAGATTCATTTTGTTCAATGGCACCATCTTCAGTCAACTACAAAGCTGAATATTAACGGGCTTCAATAAGAAGTCATGTTCATCTGCCCTAAGTCAGGAAAAAACATGGTATGTGTGCTTCTGAACATGCCCAGTGCTTCTGAACTTGCACAGTGTGGTGGTACAATCTCAGGAAATTTACTGTTGCAGGAGAAATGTCAAGAATATGGGTCCCCCGAAGAAAGGGAAAATCTCTATACATTTTGTCTGCTTTAAACTGAGAAGAGAAAAATGGTGATGACATAGAGTCACACTGGGGAAGTCTTGTCCCGGTTTATCTTTCTTAGAGGGCTGGTTGGTTTTGTTTCATTATTTGTGAAGTAATCTGTAGATCCAGATTAATGTAAAAATACTTTTTCAGGTTGTCTCTTCATTTTGGAAATACAGAAATATCTTGAGAAGACCAAAGCATGCAGCATTATAGCCATATAAATGCTCAGAAAGATCCCATAAATTAAATACCAATTCCCAAAGTGTGAAATTAACTTTTGCTGCTTCAAAAATAGTACTTGGTGCCCTAATTCCTGATTTTTCTTTATGCTTTGAAACTAAAAGTAAAGTATTCAAAAAAAACATTTAACCTGGTAATAGAATTAGAGCCCACCCTCTTCTTAGGTGATAGCATAGATATTTGTAGGAGTCTAATACCATAAATAAATGATGTAGTATGTTTATCACGAAAAGTGACTTTTAGCTCAAAATACATTTATTGGCACATTTGTTTGTGAGGCAGAATTTTAGAAAATGGGTTTAGTTATATGTTTACCAGAAATGTATAGCTAACTGCCAGCCAACTCCTCCCCATCTTCTGCTGCCTTTCTTCGTGTATGCATGGGTGCTTTCCGAATGGGCCTAGTCTATGTAGGCACCTTGTTCTTGCTGTTAAACTTAAGAGAACTGAATGAATCTGGATCTAAGAACAGCTTTTTCATCCTTCCAAGGCTGACGAGTGTTTCACAGTTTGTGTTTCCTTTTCAGCTGACCCCCTGGTTGGAAGTATTGCCACTCAGTACATGACTAACAGAGCAGAGCACGACAGAATGGCCAGACAGTGGACCAAGCGATATGCCACATAGGAGCCTACTCTAGGATTTGCTGGACCTGTGCAAGCACATTCACTAAGTGCATCAATAGCCCTTCCCTTCATTCTTATTTTTTATTAAATTTTGAACCATTTTGTGACAAAAGGTTGTCCTTACTTTCTTTTTGGTTTTATTTTTATTTTTATTTGTTTGGTTTTTTGGGTTTTTTTTGTTCTGTTAACTTGAAAGTTGTTTCCCTCAAATGTAGACAGGGGATTTTGGTTATCAGTGCAAAGAATGTTGGATCTGTAATAGTATAGAGCTTTGTCACAAAGCTTTGTATTAATGTGTGGGTTCTTTTTCTTTCATGTGGTTTTTGGGAAAACAAACAAATTCAGAATTATATCTCGTTTCTACTTAAATGTAGTGTTTAGGGTCATTTTTTTGTACTGAAGTCTTTAATGGTGGGTGCATGCTACTGGGAACAAGTTTTGTATAAAAGCTTAAAATCAAGAATCACTGTGCATTACTAAGACTGTGTTTATCACTAGCCTTCTGTTTCCCACACAAAAGGCTATTGCGTTGAACAAATTAATATGTATTTTGATTTACTTAAAAAAAAAAAAAAAAGTGCTTGTAAATTTCTTAGGGACCTGCCACTTTTGACTGTGGATCAGTTGATGTACACTTGTATTATTAAAGCACTCAATAAAACACTGTGGCTGATAAATGCACTTCTTGCAAGGCGGTGCTTTTGCGTTTGTGCAGTGTGGGCTGCATAGTCCTCACATAATACGACTGCAGGTTAAGCAGCTATTTTAGACCTAAACTATGAATTTCTTCTCAACAATGCATTTCTTAACTTAGAACTTTTCATTGTGTCTATCTTTCATACACAAACATCTTCCACATTTTAAGGCCTTTCTTTTGCATGCCGATGCTCAGCTCAGCTATTCTGAAGCCTCTTGCTGCATCTTTTGTACTATGGCTTCACTATATCCATCTTGTTACATTTTAAATAGTTGGCTATAAAAATAGCCTTGCAGCGAAAGCAGAATATTGATGATGATTTTATACAGCAGGCCTCATTTTGCCTTTCTCCAAGCTCTTTAATTGTAAAAGCAACTGTTACTTAAAAAAATAAATGAAGGTTTTCGATGGGAAAATTGAGCCCATTGCACCAATCATTCCCAGCACGTTCAATGGCAAGGGTATTTCGATTCAGATTTGACCTTCAGGCTAATTTTAGATATGCAGCCATAGAAGGAAAACTTCTACTTGGCTAAGGAAATGTGTGGGTGTTGTGATTTAGAAAATATATACTGTGATGCTGATATCTAAATGTTCTTTGTGTTGCAAGGCATATTGGAAAATCCCTGTCTCACATAATTAAACGTTACAGATGCTATATACGGTGCTTGCCTGCCCTCTCCTCTCTCTCCTTGCCTCTTTTGTTTAAAGAAGATCCTGTCTTAAAGAAGATACATTACAACAGGGACAGTATAAAGATACAGGGAGCCCCAATCCCATTACTCTCCAAACCAATCCAACTGTCCTAAGTAAAGCAGTCAAGGTGACACCGCAGGGCCTCTACGCCAGCCACTGCACTGCTCAGCATTTCCAGCCTCATTTGATTTTCTCTCAGCCATTTGCTAATTGAACAGACGAACAGCTTGAATCTACTGGTGAGTTGTCCTCTCTGTGAAGAGTAGCTGAACATTGACTTTGTTGTAGGTAGTATATAACTAACGGTGACTTTGCTGTAGGTAGTGTAAAGAAATAATATCAGCCTCTTTTGATCAAAGCAAACGGAGAGTCTTCTGGTGCCTGTAGAAGCCAGCTGTTTACAAGCCCAGCCATACAACATTTTGAGGCCAACAGATCCTAAATACAGATGTGAAAGAACAATAACAGTTCAAGAATAAAACAAAACCCCCAAACCAGACTTCTCTGAGCCAGAACACCTTCTCAGGACAACTGTTACATGTGCTTCCCTTGGAAGTTGTTTCCACCATACAACTTGATGCAAAGTACCTCCATGTATGAAGGGAACCTTCCCGCTGTAAAAATACAACAAAGACGTAAAAGGATTAAAAAGAACAACAGCATCTTGCCCAGGACAGAAACTACATTACTCCTTATCTTATCCCATCTGCTGAAGAGATTCCTGCCATAAAAGACCTGTATCCCCTGAGACAGCAATTAATGGGCAATTTCAGATTTCTTACGAATTACTTCAAGTGTCTGCTACTCTACAGCCTTTATTTACACTCAGCTGAGCAGAATGCGGTAATTTCCCAGGTACATTTTAAACCTGCTTGAAAAAGAAGTCTCTAATTCGTACTATCATATTTTTTTTTCCAAAATCCAAAGACATTATAAACAGAAGAGCCTATTGTATCTCTAATGAAGACATAACTGAAAGACAGCTGAGATACCTTGGAGGGGGAATCACAGAATTCTTAATAAATGTCTATTCTCAGTTCATCAGCTCTCACTTGCCTTCCTTACTGATCAAAAGCTGCGCAGTTTGAATTTCCAGGTAAGTTGCCCTCTGTGTGAAGCTGAACAGTGGCTTTGTCCTAGATAATATAAAACTACTGCCTTAAGAACCACAGGCATCTCAAAGAAATAATCAGAAAGGATCAACCAATGTTGATTAAAGCAGATGCAGAATCTTCTGGCGTCTGCAGGAGCCAAATGTTTGCAATTCTGGCCATAAAACATTCTCCTCTATTTGCAAATCTGCCCCATTTGCCTCCCAAGTAATTCTTTTTCTTCATCTGCTAAACCTGGGAAATATGAAGCATCATTTGAAACCTGCTGTTGTCGCTGAGGAGAAATGATCCATCCCCAGCAGAATTCAGTCTGCCAGCAGAGCCCCACTGAACAATAATGTATTGGCATAGTCTCTTTTTCTCCTTTTCTTTTTCTTATATCTAGAAAATATTGCACAATATTCTGTCCCACCTTTGCTCTTCAGACCCTCTGCAAATTTAGCTGATTCCTGCTTCCTCTTTTATGCTAAATCATCTTTCTAATTTCATCTAGACAGTGATGTTCACATGCTGCCCTCCTACAATTGGGATCATTCCAATGACTCACTCATAGTAAAACATTCAATAGCATACCCTTGTCCTAAAACAGCATATAAAGGCCATTGCTTCAGCAAATCTCAGTATTTTCTCAGGGACACACAAATGCTAAAACTGGGTTTCGTTCTTTAACGACATCTCACAGCTTTTCTGAATTCAACTGCAATACCAAGTGAACAATACTTAATTTCCAGTAACCCCAGCTAAATGTCAGTGTCCCATACCCTTTGAGTTCAACTCAGATGAAGCAGAAGTCAGGGAACTCTCCAAACTGTGTTTACTCATTCACTATTTATTGAAGTGGCCTTCACATCCCCCTGTCCAACTCACCAGCTGATTTCCCTCTCCAGAAAATTACAGAACAACACAACTTAAATTAAGGTACCCAAAAAATCCTGTCTTTCCAGAGACAGAGTTTCCAGACACTCCAGGAGTGAGTTTTAGCAGCTCATAACCCTTTTGATTACACACGTTGTGGGTGATTGCAACGAAACAGTTAAAATCCATTAAAACCAGCTGCTGTGCCATGAATAAGGCAAGAATAATTCCTCTTCAAAGGTCTTTCTTCAGGTTTTCATATTGCAAGCTGCAGATGGATACACAGTCCTATCCCACGCCCAAGCAATGGGCAGCGGCTCACAGCCCTTCCTCCCAGTGGCCCTGAGCAATTATACCATGTAAGTGCAAAAGACCAGAGATCTCGAGCCCCATAAACCCCAAAATTGGGCTCCTCTTCAAGGCCCTCTCAACCTTTTAAATTCTGTCCCCATGCATGCTCTGGGTGTGTTGCATGCCCTGAGCTGCTCTTTCAGCATGTTGTTACAGCATGCTCCCTCTTGCTGGCTGTCTTATCTCCAGCATTAATCCCTCAGACTTACTTCTCCCTCTCCTTCACCCTTTCCTTCTCTCTGGCTGCTTTCTTCTGCTTGACTGATTCATTACTTGCAGCTGAGAGCCCACCCAAGATACTGATCCCAGTTCAAATAGCTCTTCCTGAAGTTGCCTGAGCATAGTGTTTTCTTTGTCCGCCAAAATACATGCCCAGAATGTGCCCCCAGGCCCCCATCTGCTCCCTCTTGCCTGAGGCAGTGTCTACTGCAGCAGGAAAAGCAGAGGCGGCTCCACTGGAGCACGACGATGCCGTGCCATGATTCAGACAGTGCAGCAACTCCCAGTTACTTCATCCCCAGCATTATCCCGGGGTCCCTTTTCTCCCTTCCAGTTCTCAGAAACTTCTCTTGTCTCTCAGGTTGGATGTCTTGCCCCAGGCCCAATGTGCTTGCCTGCATTTTGAGTTGGACAGACTGAAACAAGGACTTGGAGTAAAAATTCTGGCACCTCCAAAGTCCGATTGTCCAGCCTTGGCAGCCACAATTCCTGCAGAGCCAGTTCTGCCTGCTGGTTTTCCATCCTCAGTTGCTCTTTCTTCTCTTCTCCTCTTCATTCCCCTTTGTTTCTCCTCCTATCCTTTCCTCCACAACATCAGTACTAAATCTTGAAGCTTCCTTCTCCCCCCTTCCTTCACCTCAGTCACGGCTCTGTTCTTCCCCCGGTGCTAACGAGACCATGTCACGTAATGCTGGGCCTCCTGGAGCTGCTTGAAATCCCCTGATTTTTAGGCCTTAGATGCAAGAAAGAGCTTTGTATGAATTAAGTGCTTCCTCATTGTGCCACGCCTGGCACTGGCTATAAACTAAATCACTTCTCCCACACACGTCATTAGCAGTAATGAAATCCGGGCTGGTCTGCCTTCTTAGCATGACATCCATATGCAAATGCATTTCCTCAGCTCAAACGATCTGCAGAGCCAATGCGTGGCTGCCTGGGATGCCTCCAGCGGCCTCTCTCAGGTCACAACTGGAATATATTTGGGGACTACTATTTACCAGGAAGAGTTTTATGATGCCTTTAAATCCATCATTCTGCACCCTAATTCCATCATGAGCTTTAATAGGGACC